TCCCTGAGGGGCGATGAGGGACAGAGCTCTACAAATCAAGCAACTGGCTGCCATGGAGAGGTGGAGGGAGAGGCTCCCTGCGCAGCTCTCTGCTCTTAGGTGCTGGGCCACTGCTCTGAACTGAGCATTGGCTTCATGTTAACAAGGGTCAACCCCCGGAAATTTCCTCATATCTTTTTAAGTGGCCTGCCAAGTGTCAGCCCGATCAAAGCCACCTAATATGGCTTACGTGCCCCTGGTTGACCTTTTGCAGTCTTTTATTGCTTTCCATTTTTTATCTACATAACAACTGGTGAGAACTACTGTCTAGTTGATCTTTTCTTTCTGGTAATAAAATGATAATACAAAGATATTGCCCACTCTAGACATCTATCATAGTGCGTTTTCCAATAACAGACTACTGAGAGCATTTCTTCATCACGTCCCAGGTAAACGTGAGGTTAAGTATTTTCCCCTCCAATACTTAAACACAGAACTGAAAATAAAAGGAGTTACATGCTAATCCTTGACACTGTTCACATGAACGTCATCTGCAATTTTATGGTCTCTGCAATTCACTCTCTCTTAGATAAACCATTTTCTGTGAGGCCAAACATACTTGAAAGGTCTGCCAAATAAAATGTTTTTCAACTCCAGAAGAGTTTTTATTCTTTTTAGAAAATAAGAGAAAAGAGAACAGGAGAAAACAACATTGGGAATGGAGCAGTAGGAAGGGTAAATCTTGGTAGGAAGAAAGAGCAGGAAAGAAGAAAAAGAGACACATATAAAGGCATAAAGAAACCAAAAATAATGCAGGCAAGCAAAACAAGCATTAGAGACCATGAATTTATTAAAATCCATTTTTATACGGATGCAGAGGTGGCTTCCTGTGGGCAGTAAGTACATCCTGCAAACCATGCCATTGTTTGAAAAGACAAAACGAAACAGAAAAAGAAAAAGCAAGCCATCAGAACAAAATCTTCCCTTGCATTCACTACATATTTAAAGTAGTTATTAATGTGATGATTAGGACTCACCTATAGCTGATAGGAGCAAGTTTAGTTTTCAAATTTTCAATGCATTTAAAACTTCAAAGATTATAGCACTAACCATTTTAAAAGTTACAGAAAAAGGGAGAGAAAAAAATCGGAACTATTGAAACACGCAGTAGACCCCTACAAAGACCAAATTTTCAAGAAAATGTAAACACATAGCCTAATCAGTTTGGATTTATTGTTGAGAGGTATCAGGCATCAAACTGAGACGGTCATGGTCATGGTGCCTCCAAGTGACCAGGGTATCAGGCTATGGTGGTAGACAGAAATAGTGCAGAATAAGACCAATGGTAAGTAGAGACCCTATTAACAATGCATTTGAGAAAATTTTATAAGGTGTAGAAATCTGAAAACAGTTAATATTATGGAATAGGCAAGAGACTGTCAAACACTCACCTTTTTACACAAACAATTCATGTGTTGGTCACAAAAGTACTTAGTCACTATGACTTGGATTTTGCTGGTAATAATGTGTTAATGAATAGTTTGCGTCACCATATATTTCTACAATAATGATTTTATATAAAATACTCAACAACATGCCTTGTTTTGCTAATTCAAATAAGTTTCTTTCTTTATGTTAAAAGAATATGACTTACAATTCTTTCCCATCTACGTTTATTGAAGTGCCCCTCACTGTCCAGGGGAGAAATTTTGTATATTCAAAGAGGATGGTTCTTTTACCAACTTCCATATAAATTTACTTTATGATGGTAGATTGTTGTTTTCCACATTGGAGTTAATTAAACAGGAAAGAGCAATCTGATTGTCCCTTTATTCTTACCCCATACAGAGGAGATTGGAGAACCCTAGATAATACATTTCTCTGCTTGACTCCCAGTCCATGAATCTGCTAACACTGACCTCAATCTAATTCCAATTTGCAGATAACAAATATATTTTAGCAGTGATATAAGCTAATGGGCATCAAAGAACTGAGATTGGTCAGGGACTGTGTTCAGGGACATTCTGTTTGTAATCTGAAAGATAAAAGGGTGTATTTTGACAATGACATGACCACTATTCACAGAGATGGATTTCTTAAAAAAGTATCCTCTCTACACACAAAAATAAGCTTTTGATTTTTAAATGAAAATAAGCTATCTCCCTCCATTTAAAAAGTCTTGACAGCGTTTCCTATTGGGGGGAATCTTGGCAACAAAGAATCTGACAGAGATAGTCTTTGGAATTCAAATCTGCCCTTTCTCAAAAGAACCTTAACAAAAGGCTGTGACCTCGCCTGTCCGTGAAATCTAAACTACTGACATAGGAAGGGCTGAAAAAGAAATGTATCTGCCATCTCTTATCATCTCACAGGTCTAACGCACATAGCTAGACCTTCCCCCTCACCTACTACCTGCTCTTCAATAGTCAAGATCAGACAGCCTGATACTATGTATCATTTCTTTTGCGTATCAGGTAACATTTGTTGTAATCTGTGTGTGTGTGGGGGGGGGGGGGTTACAGTGGAGGTAAGGGAGGAAGGCACCACGGTAGAAAACAGAGCAATTCTCAGGAAGTACAGAGAAATTTGGGAAGGTTTTCATTAAAAAATAATTTAAAGTAATTCTCAATGCAACATAATTTTCAATGCAAGATAATCTTTATATTATAGTTTCTCTATTCCAGTGGAAATATTCTTAGAAGACATCAATTAAGATATTTCATATTAATCTCACAATACAGTTGTTATCTTAGGTGTGCTGTACATTTTAGAGATGGCAGCAGTATACAGCTGTGATTTAATAAACATACATTCATGTCCGTTTCTTGCACACTTAACTCAAAGGCATACCTGTAATAAATTATTAACCTACAAATCGTACTGCAATTGATATATATTTTTTACTTTTTATGGGGTAGAAAATGCACTCCAGGTGGAAATCTGCTTAGCTACTGTGAGTTAGATTTGCATTATTAGATACATAAATTATTTCCACTCCTCAGAGTAGTAACATGAATTCTTGGTAGAACTTGGGGTTCTTGCTAAAGCTGCCCATGATTCCCCAGATAAAGCAGAGGCAAAGGAAATAAAAATGTTACCTGATCACTGAGTGCTCTTCCCAGGGACTGCTGTCAACTTAAGGCGTTTGCAGTCTGGTCCAAGGTGCGCATAGAAAGCTCACATTCACTCAATTAAAGTAACTTAAATGTAACACGTGCTCCTCAAAAGGTGGAAGATTCGACTAACCAGCAAAGAAATGTGTTCTTAAAGATATAATTCTGTGTAATATTGAGAGGAAAAATGACTGCTTATTATCAGACTCTTATAAGCCAAATGGTGTCTAGTCGTTAGACTACAAAGATGCATTTCAAAAATTAATATAGGTAGCTGAGGACCACAGTTTAGACACAATTCATTGGGTAAATTTTCATCAAATACTAGAGTTTATGCAGTTAGATTTTGTAAATTTGAAAATTCATGCTTATTATAAAAGTACATAAGGAAGTCTTTTCTCACATGGGTTTTCTCAGATTCAGGGAGAATCAAGAACATCTCTAGCTGTGTTAAGGCTCCAATCTGGCCTCAGAAACTATTTTGTGAGTTGCCACTTTGCCTGTGCCCAGGGCTGAAGGCAAACTGGAGCACGGCATTGACCTGCAAAGCCTGTGCTCCTTTCAGAAAGTATGGGAGGGAAGGAGAGATGGGGTTTGAGAGCAATTGTGCAGTTGAAAAATTCCACTGATACTTGCATGGGAATTCTGACAGAGTATTTTAGGAGCTGTTCTGTTGGAGACAATTTTTCATGTTTTACATGGTAGTTTACCAATTTCATTTTTCTGAAGTCATGGTTCAGTTACCATTTTATATGGCTATGGGTAGAAAGGCCCACATTTTTGGCTACTTTTAAATGAATATTAAAATATTTAAAGACATAACTGAGTTATAAGACACACAGTGTTTGAACTAATATATATTTCATTAGATAAAGCTGCTCATTTTTTAAATTTAAGATCAGCATCTACTCCTCAGAGGATGGACTGTCGCTACTTGAAAATACAGCCAAGGTTTGGGGAAGAGACTCCATCAACTCACATTCAGCATTTTCCAAGGATATAATTTTTTTTTTACTGATTATGAAATGAGACTTTAGAAGTTTGTTAGAACCATTTTACTGAAATAGCTAATGATTCTGTTATCATTGGTGGAGATTCCTTAATGTGGTCAGCAAAACCTGGAAAAGAACAATCTAAATATTCATGTGAAGAAATAAAACACATTTAAGATAAGGCTACAACTCAAAATAAAATCACAGTCCTTATATCCTTTCGGGTCCCCTAGTCCACAATCAAATAGAACTCAGTCCATGCATCTTTTCTGACTCGTCACTTGGCATGCACATCACAGATTTGAGGGGTTTTAGTTACTTTTGCAGATATATGGTTAGGATGTAAAAATTCATCATGTAAATAATCGTAATGAACAAGAGAAACTTCTTTAGACAAATAATTTTCTGTATATATGTAACTTGAAAAAAACACATTATTCTCTGTAAAACTGGTTGAATTTAAAAGGATTTAATACTCTCAACATTAAAGGAATTATATGTTTTTCTGTATTTGAGTTAAGAGAGAAAAACTACTGGTAAGGAAAGAGAAAAAAGACTCAAAGTATGTTCTCCAAATTTGGTCAAGAAGAGAGCTACAGGAGTCCATGGTCTGGCAAAATATAAATGCTACTTCCCTTATCCAAAGGTCTACAGAGGCATTTATACCTCATGTTAAAAAATATCGGTCACCTCTTTTGACACTTAGAGGTAGGAATGGCAGTGGTTAAATCTTTAACTGGACAGATTTCAAAATGAATTTTTACAACCCAGATGATGGACTGGTATACTTCAAAAGTGAATTCATGAGTTTTATAAACACCTTTCTCTCTTTCCCTCTCTCTCTCTCTCTCTTGCCTTGACTAGCTTACATCATAATGGAGGAATAACATTTTAAAAATTTTGAATAGGCACTTACTGGAATTACAGTTAATCCTGATACAATCTAGATGGGGAAGAATAGATGAAAAATGAAAATTTATCCTTCAAGGTAATAGCTGCAGACATCCAATAAAATCACAGTCCACCCTTCCGGGGACAGACACATGCAAATATGGCCACTCCATATCATTTATGCTTTACATAGCTCTAGAACCCAGATTCATTGTTATAAAACTTCACTATTGGAAACAACAATAAAAGATTTTTAAAAAATGGCCAATTCAAACAAAGCTACATGGTGACAAATCTAAGTGAAATAAAGAATTGTCAACTGTCAAAGATGCTTGGCTTAGACTGGGTGCAACTTTCTCCCCATGTGTGAAAGAACATATCATTGTTTTCAACATAATTAAAAAGTGCTCCGTCACAATGGGGTGTAGGTGCAAGCTCAGCTAGGCTCAGACATCTTGGACCTCCAAAATCTAAGATCCCACAAAGGCCAACAGAGTCCTTTAGAATTATGGTGGTTAATGGAGAGCAAGTTGAAATTATTCTCACCTCATCGTAATTTTTTTTTTTTTTTTTGGTTTTGTGCGGGCAAACAGGTAACAGCCCAATGCTGCCTGGATTCTATGCCTTGTATTAATCGGAGGAGGAAAGAAACACTGTATGTCTCTTTTAGAAATCCTAGCGGCTAAGTAGTGTCATTCTCCAGAACACGCAAGCCTGTGCCTCTCTTCCGAGCTAACAATCTTATCTCTATGCAGTAAGTGTCACGGTTAACACTGCTATTGATTTTCCCTTTCTTATCCTTGCTTCTTATATAAAAGCAGATTCTCTAAGAATAGGATGAAATGAATAACACAGACTGTGATTAGAAGGGTTATCTTTAAAGGACTACATGGGATGTTTTATGTTTATTTTATGTATAGATAAATATTTGCTGCTTTTGGTAGTAGTATTTAGTGCCTTTGGGGAACACAATAAATATAAACCTAGATTCTGTTCCCATGTAGCTGAGTTTGTCATGTGTCGTCAACCGCATCAGAAAAGTGGTTGCAAACAGCCAAGGACCAGCACCTACACAACTCTTTCCACAGAATGCTTTGCTGTTGTACAATTCCCATAAGAGTTTTCTCTTTGGCTAGCAGCCAGCCCCTCCACGGTAATTAGGCAGTTTTGATTGGCTGTAGTAACCTATTATTGTCACTAGAGGGAACTCTAACAGAACAGTAAACAAGTGCTGTGTGTTCAGCAACCTTTAAAAACACTCTTATTACATAACTTAATTTAACTAATATTAATAGAATGTAATTGTATGCAATAAGATATCTGTGAAATACTTTTATATTTTATGAGCTACCATTCTGCCCAGCACAATTAGAAAATGTAGGTGAGGTTTCTATAAATGCCTCATCATATTTTACTACTCTTTTATCTATGTAGTTTCAAAATTTTCTGTTTATTCATTTTTTTATATTTATTAATTTTCATGTGTGTTTCTCACTTTCAGGAAATACAGTAAAACCTCATTAATTTGTACACCTCTTGGAGTTAGTTAATGGTCATACTGAAACCTATTGGGCAGATAGATTATTTATAACTCTTCATTCAGTATGAGCACAGATCACCTGAAAACAAAATAAACAAGTTCTGAAAGGTCAAGTTGAAGGAAAAAAACTGAGTCTAAGTACTTTACTATGGATTAATGGCACAACTTGCATGAAACAAATGTGCTAATTATGGATAATTCTTATCCTGCCATTAAAATGAACCTAGGAAGACCTTTCCTTAAGAGGATTTTTTTTCAGCCATGAATTTGTGTTTTTAAATGCCATTGAAGACAAAGCAGTTTAATTTTTGTTAATTCTACAATTTTCGTAATTCAGCCTTCCCTTCTCCCATGCTTCAGCTAGGTTGTTGAGGTTTTACTGTAGGGACTCTTTCTTCATTCTGTACCTAGGCAGGAAAGCATTATTTTCCTGTAGAAGAGCCTGTGTTTTGAGTGTTCTCGTGGCTGTTTGCTGAGGGCCGCAGACTTTGGGCATTGAAGGGTTGTGGATTGTTGTTGATAGCAAAATATCACCACAAAGTATCGCCAAACAGAAAAGATGGAGTACCACCAAGATGATTTTTGAAAGGAGAAGCCCAACAAACAGAAGAAAAGCTGCTGTTGACCTAAATCACAAAGTAGAAAATTGACATTTGGTGCATATTTTACCTCAGTAAGTGTATCTGAAAGGATATCATCTATAGCCAATCCGAATATCAGTAAATATGACAATAGGAAAATCAGTTTGTGGCATCTTTGCGCCTAATAATTTATATTTTCAGTTAACCTCATTGATATATATGGCTTCCCCTTTAAGAACTCTCAGTGGTAGAAGTCACAAAACAGTAAATTATGTTACAAACAACAACAACAACAAACAATAAAAGGATGCCCCAAAAACCTAAATTAATTGAAATGATGGAAATGAGACCATGAAGTGTGTTTTTTTTTTTAACTTTCCATGACAAACAGGCTACTTGATAAATGTTTGCAGGCAGAACTAAACAAAAAATGAAGAGTGTTAGTTCAGTGGGGGAGGGTGCGTGGTTACCTAGGTTGACCGTCAGTTTCACACGCCCTGCGTCCAGCTCCAGGCGGAGGGTGTCTGCCGAGTCTCTCGAGGTGGTTGCCATGAGAATGCCATACGCACGCTGGGATCGAAACCGTAAGGACACATCCTCAGCCTCTGTGTGCATGACCACGGGGAGCTGAATTTTCATAAACATGCTCCCATCATAGCTCAAAACAGTCGCCTCTACAGGTGAGAAAGAAATATGAACATTCTTGGTCAGTTTAGTACATTTACACTGGGAAAGGGAAAGCGTGACCTAGTCAGTCTTCTAGTTAGAAGGCAGAACTACAAACTCAGCTCATCTTCTTCCGAAATGAGCAAATTTTGTAAGCGGGAAAGGGAAGTCGCAGCAGGAGGAACTTCCTCTGTGAGGTATCTGCGCAGGTGCGGAAGAAGACAGGGCCACACTTTTCCTTTTGATTCCCACAGCACTTTCTGCCTGAATCGCGTTGATCATGTTGGATTATGAATGTTTAGGTATGTGTCTCTCTTCTCAAGAGAATAGATCGATTCTTTTGTGTATCCACAGTGTGAGCCTGGTTTGAAGCACTAGCAACTAATGCATTTTATATAATACATGGCTAGGCCACTGATTAGCCCTTTAAACTTAGCCTTGGCTACAAGAGGACCTTATCGGCTACAAGAGGATCTTTCAGTCCTTTGTTCACCTCGCAAGTCCCAGACTTGGGACTTAATTCTAAGAGCAATTAATTGGCACTTAAAAAATATCTGTAAGCACAACCTTGGTATCCTGAAAACATTAAGCTATCACCCAAATGTCAGTTACTATGCCCCGTGGTGATACTGCATAAGGATGGCAGGGACTGAAGAGCTCGTGTGGTGTGTGCTACTAAAACTGATGTGGATTGCTTTAATAGGGACGCTGCTTAATACAGTACGGAATGCATGAAAGAGTAAATAGCAAAAACTGTTGATCACAAACCGACTGCTTTAAGAAGTCGTCAGCACCCCTGAATGTTAAACACCATATGGCCATAGAACGCTGCAAAACAAGCATGAGTCATGCTGCCTTCTTATTGGTTCCAATAACTCAGGGTCCCATTTAACACAAGAAAAACGACCTCGATTTAAAATAAACTAGGAAATTCTCATTATCTTGCCTACGTACATGACACAGCAATTAACTTTACTAATGCAACTGTGTTTATTATTAAGACTGCGCTTCTGAAGTTGTGGTTTTTGCAAGTTTATTCTTCAAACAGGGAGGAAAGTCATGAGACTGAACACACATCCAGAACCGATCAACCGCCTGCACTCTTTTCCGTCTACCTTGGGACTCAGAGGCTCTCCTCAACTCACATGCTCATGCCCCCTAATACTTATTAATGCCCCTGACCTCTCTCTCAAGCTCCACCACCCATCACTCACCCATTTGTTGAACATCTCCAAACTGGGTATGATAGGAACCTCATGAAACTATTCACTCCCTCCCCAAATCAAACTCATCATGTTTCTTCTCTAATGTTTTGCATCTTGGTAAAGAACATAAGCCCACTGGTCAGACTTTCTCCTTTCTGATCTCTCTCTTACCTTCTCTGCCATGTCCAATCTATTTGCAACTCTATAATTCTTGAAGGCACTAATTCCAATCCACTCCCTGAATCCACTAATCCTTACCCTTTCCACTAAAGGACCTCAGACTCTGCTCCCATCTCTCACCTCTGTCACTATCAGTCTCCCAACTTCCCCAACTTCCATGCTTTCTCCCTGCACAGAGCAGCCAAGTTAAACTTTAAAGTAAATCAGATTCTATCCCTTTATTGCTTAAACAATCCCACACCTCCCACAATAGATTTCCAGTGCAATCAGAATAAAATCTGTATCCCTTTTTAAAAAATCTTTGTGTGTGGTCTGGCCCCAGTCTGTCTCTCTGACCTCAGCTTTTACCATCACCATCCCACCTTGTTTAGCAAACTCCAGCCACTGATTTCAACTCGCAAGTATTTGCATTCTGTCTTAGAAGGTTTCACTCCATTCATTCTCTCTGCAGCATAGAGAAAGAAGGAGCTACTACCTTTTGCAACAACATGGATGGAACTGGAAAGCATTATGCTCAGTGAAATAGGCCAGGTGCTGAAAGACAAATACCATATGATCTCACCTTTAACAGGAAGCTAAACAACAAAACAAACAAGCAAGCAGAATTAAAAAACAAAGACACTGAAATAGAGAACAAGGGGACAGTGACCAGAGGGGAGAAGGAAGGGAAGTTAAGGGGGAAAAGGGGGAGGGATTTGGAGGAACAAATAGAAAGGACACAGGGATGAGAACTAAGGAGGGTGGAAATGGGAGGGAGGTGGGGAGCAAGGGGCGGGGGAGGCTGGGATGGGAGAAATAGACAAAAAAAACTGTACTTGAAAAATAACTAAATAAAATTAATTAAAATAAAAAAGAGAAGGTTTCACTCCAGATCTTTATATGGCTGGTTCCTTCAACATTTAGGTCTCTGGTCACATGCTGCTTCGGACAGGCATGCTGCGAACACCCAGTAATCCCCTCTAGGGAGTCTATATCTATTTACCATTTAATTTTTTAATTAACATTTGGTTTTTGTTTGTATAGCATTATCCGCTTTTGGCCTTTAACATGTAAGTGTTGAAGTGTCATGAGGGCAGGCGTTGGATTCTCCCGTTCACTGTTCTGTCAGCAGCTGCGAGTCCCCGAGGTGCCAGGCACACAGGAGAGTCTCCATAAACATTTACTGAATCAGTGATTGCACTCAATACTGAAGATAAGTGAGAGGGTTTCCTTCAGTCTGGCTATCAAGCTTACATGTACGCACGCTAAAGAAATGAAGTGTTTGTTTTGCCTATTGTAAGTAGACCCTAATTTTGGTAGTGAATATGAACAAAATATTTACTAAAGTCTACTTTGAGGTCCATAATTGTGCTGAAAACAATAGATTAGGAAAGGGGTCTGCTTACCAAAATAGGGGTCCCATGGCTAGGCACTGACCTAAGCACTGGAAAACGTAACATAATCTTCTTAAAATAGAGTGATTCCAGATCATACTATATATTATGTTATATTAGATAAGAAGTTTCCTAAATGGATGTAATATCACAAAATACATTATTTGGTGCAGAAAATCTAGTGGTAGTTGCTAAAAAAATAATTAAAACATGACTGCAGAGTTGCAGGGGAATCTAAAAAGAAAAGTGTTTCTAGTATAATTTTTAAAGAAACTCGGTCTTTAATATCGCTTATTGTGAAATACAACCAACCATTGTCCCTATCTATAAAACAATATTTGAAATAAAAGTTCAAAAGCAATTATCAATTGTTCAGTTATTGTGCTGTCATACAGATAAAAGTACTAAAATATTTTTTTAGTTCTGTTCAATTTATTTAGCCTGTAAATCTGGTCTCTATTATTTAATAATCATATTTTTAAATGATCTCATATTCTATAAAATGTCACTTAATTTGATTAAAAGGTAAGGAAGGGGAACATCCTTTTAGAAATACAGAAGTCAGACAATGGATCCTAAAGTATGAAATACAATACAAAGGAGAAAAATAATTAGGATCATTGGCCTTTAGCATTTTCAAAAAGCTGCAGGAATTTAAAAAAAAAACAGTAAAGTAATAAAACTTGACAGCCCCCAAGTGCCATTTTAAACAATTCTCAGTGTGAAAATAACTTGTTCATAAACAACAAATAAATGTCTAAATTATTCCTCATCATTAGAGTTAATTTTTAATTAGACAAGAAATTGAAAATGGGCAAGGCTGTAGTCTAGAGTCACCAAATAAATGGTCACCAACATTCTGACATTTGAAGGTTATGTCATTTGGCAGCATATTTTAACATGGGTCACATTATTCTATCACTAAGAACACAAAAGTGTTCTTTAAAAGGCTAATTCCAACGCAGTACTTCCCCGTGGGGGAGAAAAAGTTTCCATTTTGTCTCCTCGGCCTCCGTCTCCCTTGTCATTAAGTTTGATCAATTTGCTCCTCTGTGTCATTCCTTCTCGCGGTCTAAAGTGCACACCTGTGCTCAGTTTTGCCGAAAGGCAGTCACAATTTGTGATCAACGATGAAAATCAGACAGGGAGCCAAATTATAGTGCTCTGACATCTGTCCCGCCATCTGTTAGAGTTTTAACAAACAAGTGTACAGTAGACCTCTGATTACATCATATACGTACAACCAAGAATAACTTCCATATGAACAAGTCTCTACAAAGTCCTAGTTTCATTCAAAACAGAGCAGGAGGGAAAGCGCTGCACTTTATCTTCTGTTGAGCATTATTTATACAGTATTCTTCCCTATGGAATCAATACACATAAAGCAAGACACTACTTTTCTAAGTCGGCAGATACTCTCTTCTTTCTTATAAACACCTTTGCTTACTTAATGCAAAGTGAGGTTTCCTAGAATGAGACTATGACTTCACTGCTTATGCTGCATTGTCCATGGACTTGAACATGTTGTTTAACTACTTTGAATAATTATCTTTATAAATTATCAATTATTGCTCAGTGATAATAAAGTAGAAACTTTTTAAGTGCCTTTTTTTTTAACTTCAAGAGTTCTCAGTCAGCTCTTACATGGTCAACAATCTTATGTGATTAGAGATCACCTACAGAAAATCCCTTTCTTTTGAACTGGAAACCCCGAGGGCTGGGCATGATCTTGCATTGACTGAACAAGGGCATCGCTGGGGAGAAGCCAAGTTTTGAGCTATTGAGCATGACAGGCATCCCCCATCACCCTGTTCTCAGGAGACACCATAATGTGAGCAAGAAAATTAATTCTGAAAAGCAAAGTCTTCTGACAATACGCTACTGGGTAGTCCAGAAACAAAAAACGCACTAAAATGACCATTCCCTTCTCAACAGCAACCTGGAGACAGACAAATCTGTAGAAATTTCCAGCCACTTGTCAGATAAAAGTGTATGCTGACTCCCAGTGATGAAGTCTGCTATTAAATGCTCATCTGCAAATGTGCCTGTGCCTGCTCCCCTTCTTTTAATTATATAAATGTTCCCCTTCCCTCGTTTGGACTCAGGAAAGAAGCCTTGCAGTTTCTCTATTTTTATTTTTGCCACATGCAGTAGCAGAATGCTGCCACAGGGGGGTACACCATGCATATTTCACCAAAGGCTTTCCTGACTCCTGCGACAGTTCCCTTACAGCCTTCTCCAGCTTCACTTGAGCAGGAGGCACCAGAGAGTCTGAAAGCTCTCTGAGTGACTACAATTAAAACAAAATCTTAAATCATATAGCTCTGCTAAACACACATTATGTCTAAATGCAAGACGTCCTATAAGCTTTGTCACTCTGTTGCTGTTCTCACTGGCACCTTTTGGCAACTTCTAAAAACTAATCTATATACAAACAAACAGATTTGAAGGAAACATGAGAAGAGGAAATTTACAGAGACTATGCAGCGTGTGAATGAAAACTGCAACTGCGCAGAAATGGCTAACCTCTAATGGCAAAGCACAGCAATTGCAATTAGATACCCGGGGAATGAGTGAATCTGTGTGATTAAAGCATCTACCCACCTATTGATGTGTCTAATTGTGCAACAGAACAGTGGTTGTATTTTTGGTAGGTAATTTAAGATCCTTATTAGATTATTAGGTTATTTTTATTAGTTTTCATATTAATTAATGTTAATAACACGAACCTCCTTGGTAAGATTAAGAATCAATCACATGTCAACTTTGGATTCAGAAAATTACCATTTTTTCTTTAGAAAGTGTTAGCTGAAATGAATTAAACTATTATAGAAATAAAGGGGGGAAGACTAAATAAATATTCATGGCTGAAAAATAGATGTTGGTTACTTTGAGGTTAATGGCTCGTAGAGCAATGTTATGTAGAGTGTGAGAGGACAATGGAAAAACTCATCAATATTTTTTCATATCGATTTTTTGTTCCACTGTTGAAAATGAGTGGCAGTGGGTGTAGAGACTAAAGCATTTATCTGACACTGTTAGGTTGATAGAAGGACATGCTTAGACCTATTTTTCTGCTATTTCTTCCTTTGGTCTACAGATGAACTGTGACAGCTATCACCCTTCCCTCTTCCTTTAACCCTCCTCCTTCTGATGGGAGAGGAAAAGAAGGGCGAAAATGTAGCTCTGCTTCCCAATAGAGAAGGAAATGGAAGTACCTGCTCAGAGTTTCAACAGGTACACGAAGCCTTTATGAAATGAGTAAATGAATCTTCTCTGATCGGTTAGGTCCAACGCAAAGGTAAGTAAGTGCCTTTGAAAGTGGGGTGCACTTCTGAAAATGTTGGTGTAACCTGGGTGATTTAAAGTCAGCTTGCTTTTCAAATTTCAAACTTGGGTAAGTTGACTCAAGTACAATGAGCAGGCTAACCTAAGTCTCATGCAAGAGTGTCAGGGAAGTTGCAACTTCTAGCTGAGCTTACTGCACGTGCTATTTTCTTTGGGGGGAAGCATAGATATTAGCACTGGATGCCATAAATGTCTGACTCATGCATTCTTTACTTTCTAGTGTCCTGAAATTGAAAAACTGGGCAAAAAAGAAAAACAGTTATTGTCTATGCACCTCAGGCTCATACCCTAGAGGATACAAAAGATCCAAATATTCACTCCCACAATATATGTAAAGAGCTGTTTTCCCAGAATCAGTTCCCTTGAAAATCATTAAGGACTCATCACTAATGTGTCAAGTGTGGCCGCTCAGCTTGCAGAGAATTTACTTCAGCAGAACACACATTATGTTTCTGCGGTCCATTTAAAGTTTAAGGTCAATATTTAATATGTTTTTCAACTCAGGGGAGTCACCTACCTCTCTCACAGGACCTGCCAAGATAGCCTGTTCCGGAACAATCGCAGACATATCTGTTCCACCCATCCCTGCACATGCCATTGTTTTTGCAAGGGTTGCTAAGGCACGGTTTTGCTGTTTCCCTTGAGCAGGAGGGCTTCACTCCAGCAGTACTTTGAACTTCAGCCATTTGCCGGATATCTTTGCTCTGGCCGTCGATGAACAAATCTCTGATGCAGCCCACGTAGCCATAGTTGAGCAGAGCAGTCCACACCTCAGTGGGGAAGACGAGGCCGGCTTTATTTTCGGGCAAGCCCCCCAGGTACAACTCATCGTCCAGGTCCAGAATCTCACTCTCCCCGGGAGCCGTGTAGGGTGTGCGCAGCGTGTTGACAGAAATGGTACCTATGGCAAAAATGAGAGACACAGATCTTTACATCATGTTCTAGATATCATCCTTTCTCTCTTTCATCTGCTTGAGGGTGAACTCCTTGAGGGCACATTTTTGTTTTTATTTTTATTCCTAGTGTCATATACTTCTCAGTGGAATACACAGAAACCCAGGGAATTAAGTGACTTTAGAAATAATGCAGACTGTAAGTAAAAATGCTTCTTCAGGCATACCTTGTTTTATTGAATTCTGCTTTATTGCATGTCACAGATGTTGCATATTTTACAAAATAAAGGCAAGGCCCTATACCAGCAAAAAGATTATGGCTCCCTTTATTGGGATACTCACTTCATTGTGGTGGTCCGATACCAAATCCATACCTCTCTGAGGTATGATTGTATTTGCCTTGGTGATAAAATTCAAAGTGCACAGCAAACAAAGAGTGTGTGTCAGCCTCTAACAGTTTATCCATGGAAGGAAGGAAGGAAGGAAGGAAGGAAGGAAGGAAGGAAGGAAGGAAGGAAGGAAGGAAGGAAGGAAGGAAGGAAGGAAGGAAGGAAGGGAAGGGAAGGAGAAATTAGCATTTTATACCATGCTCTAGTCAAAAAGAAAGAGAAGGAAAAAAACTGACATTCTATACCACTCTGTGGAATAAAGTCAGGCAGACTGACTTGATTGCCTTTACTTAGTACAATAGTTTGACAGATTATTTATGTCTAAACCTAACTTCATCATTCTTAGCCATATGAATCTATCAATCAACTGTTAAGGTCTCAGTTAACTCATTCCTAATATGGGCATAATAATATGACCTACCTCATGTAGTTACTCTGAGCATGAAGTAAAATAATACTAGTAAATATCCAGTTTATAATAAGCACTGAATAAATGCTGTGTGCCATGATTAATCACAAGAACTGAGTCAAATTTGCTGTCTACTTTTTTAAAAAAAAACAAACCAGCTATTCACTTGAGTGGATAAGTTTCTTTCCCCTCACTACAAATATGAGGAAAAATAATTCTATTAGTTTATAAATATATATGAACCCTGGCCCTAAGCCTAAAATGAAGAGTAGTCATTCACCTGGGGATCACAGAAAATACAATTGTGGAATATATTAGAAGAAAAAAATGAAAGACAGAAGGCAGATTTAATCAGAACTCCCATCCTACACCAAATTCCAAAATTTACTCAAAATTCTACCCATATTCTATTTCCAGGAAGATTATTGTAAAGATTCAAATATGATACCAGACAAGGGCACCTCGCTGACCCATTACTAGATTATCTTAGACTTATCTCTCAGGTCCAGCCCATAAAACAGACCAGCAGGAACCTAAAGTGAGAAAGTGGATTAGAAAATGTCTGATGCAATGCCAGCCACTGACACAGAGCCTCGGGGTTGAGGGGCAGACACACAGGAGTGACCTGAAGACAAGACAGGTACAGAAGTAGGGCCAGGCAAGGAAAGTGTAGTGTCGGCAGGAAGATGCATCTCAGGTGTTTCACGGAATACCTAAGCCCCGCCCCAAGTAAAAATATGGCCTGTGATGAATGTGAACCCACATCTAACTAAGGACACCGGGCTGCCTTTCTCTGTGTCATGCCCAGGAGCACTCCAAATCCCAGCAGAAGGCGCACTCCTCAATGTAGGCAGGGTAATGGGATCTGTCTTCATGAGGGAGAAGGGCATGGGAGCCGCTGACAGAGGCCGTGCAGGTGGCCAAGTCATTAAGAAGACATTTGTCTCTCTAGACTTGCACAGAAAGGATTGAAGAAAGCTCCGAGGGGAGAAACACTCAAAGGTATTGCTATTTTGGCCTCCCAAACAAGGGAGCATAATAGGTATTTCAGAAGGAGGCAGGAAAGAGGGAGAAGGATGAAGTGCTTATTTTTACTGTTCGCATCTGTGGAAGCATCTAGAGGAAAACTCACTTTGCAGCATGTGTGTAGCATAAGATCCTACATAGAGAAAGATAAAGCATTTAGTTTGGGGGAAATGAAATACATAATTTTGAGAGGCAATGGTGAAACATGTAAATAGAATTTTATTATGTGTATTTTTGACTGTCCAAAAGAAGAAGTGGGTTAACAACTGATTCCCCTTGTCTGTAGCAGTTCATGTTAAGTTAGAAAATGATGAAACAGAGTAAGTGTATGAGAAAAGAAATGGTGGACATTAAAAAACTCCATATCATATGTGGTAAGCAAAGAGCGGTATGGAATGAACACAGTGACTAGTGTTTTTAGGCTAAACATGCCCCACTTCTGTTTTTCCAATTAGTTCAAGAAGGCTTGCTGGACATGAATATGTAATATTCAGAGAGAGAGAGAGAGAGAGAGCGTTGTTAAAAGTCACAGAGCAAGGGAACAATAGCAAAGTTTTACAGCATTGGGAATATGTTTTTAAAAATATGCAACTTTTCCCATAGACCTTTTTTATTCATGGATAAGCTTGTTCAGGGAACAAAAACAAAACACACTTGGAAAACTATTGTTCTCATTCATGAGTTCCAAGTCTGTCAGTGAGAGGATGCTTGAAGAATTCTTCAAATGAGGGAATTCACTGGCTGGCCCAACACCCACTCTCCCTGACTCTCCAAATAACCCGTAGCTCCGTACACCATGTAGTTTCCATACTCAACGTGTCTACACTCTGGGGGCCAAAGTGCTGCCAGGTGCTTCAGACGATTGTCCATGAACAGTCTGTCTGATGGTGAGAATGGAGTGGCTGGGTTCTAGATTTTGTTTATAGTATTTGAGGGCCTGTTTTGAAAAAAGTATTGCAAGAAATTCAGATACGCTTTTATGAATGTATTTGTGGCCAGAGGAAGATATTTACTATAACTTTCTGATTAGATGGGAGTTTTGGGACCACCACACCTAAAGTTAATTCAAACAATGATTGAGAGGTCACTGTCGTAAGGATAAGGATGATTTCCTTATAGCTCCTTGTTATCCCATTTGAGAGACAATTTTAGAACTTTCATGGGAAAAAGAAGCAATGAAAGATGGGAAAGAAACCAGAAGAATTATAATACAACTTCAACCCAAATACAATCCAAGGGGAATTCAAGCTTTAATTTAATCCTGGATTTAAGGTAAGGAGTCACATCAGTATATGCATGTATCAGGCATCATTCACTGGAATGTTCTGCACCCAAACGTAACAGAATGAAACAACTATAACTGAAAGTCAGCTGTTTTCTCTACATGCTTTGCCAATCCATATGTACTTATATTTTAAAAGGGAATCTTTGTAAAGGACATGGCCAAGAAAGGGAAAGTGTACAACTGATTTAAATAAAAATGGAAACGATTATTTTGTATTCTGAAGATTCACAGAACAACAACTTTATTTCAAATAACAATAAATTTTACTACTGAGTCAGCTATATATATTAATATTTTAGCCCATACATGTGAAAATCTGAAATACACACATTTCTGATAGGGGATTTGAATCCTAAATTCCTTAATGGTTTTATTATTGAAAACAATCAAAGAATATTTTCACCAAAGCTGAAGATTCATCACAGGATCACTTAATTCATTAAAACCAATTTAACTCACAAATATGAGCAAAGTGCAATTTCAACATTAAGGTTCCAAGCACCTATTTTATTATAATTGAGTTATAAAGACAGTGGTTAAAAAGAAAACATAAAATGAATATTTAAACCTTATTCATCAATAATGAAAGAAAATCAAGTAGTTGCGACACCTGTGTATATCAATAGAAAATGAGAATTTCCTAAAGGCTGAGGTATGAAGATATGCAAATAAATTTTTAAGAGGAAACAAAATTCTGGGTATATTATACTATTTTTTTCTAGTAACAACAAATATTCTTATGTTATCTTTAGAACTGTTTGACTATTTCATATATTCTACTCTCTCCCCTTATAAGTTACCTTTGAAGTTTCTGGTAAATTAAACATTTCATGTAAACACTGCCATATTTTGAGCTGTTAAATTTCGTAGAGGATGGTCATATTAGGGGAGTTATTTGGATCAGTGCTTTATGCTCCAATATTTAAGAATGAAAAGTACCCTGCTGTGTTATTTTACTTTTAAACAAAGAAAATGTCAGCTAAAACCAAATATATTTGTGTACATGAGTTTTATAATGTTAATGTAGGAATAACACTAACACATTAACATTTAAGTCTAGTTGTTTTCATGACATATGCAAAAGGTAACCAAGGTGCTAAACAAATGGCGTATGGCAAAACTAGGATTGCCGTTGTTCACTCAGAAAGAATACAGTTGTAAACAAATCACAGGACAAGAATAAACTGTTTCATGTACTCACAACTCAAAACTATTTTCTGCACCCTGTATTTAAGAATATTTATAAGCATAAATAATAAAGTCACATTTTATGTAACAGTATATGTATAAGGGGACAAACTTGAAACCTGTTCTTCATTATACAGGTGAAATCAACTATGCGATTTGATGGGGTATTTTTAACCTGTTAGTTTCTACTCTTGTTTTTTCCATCCAATTTGTCTTGGCAACTCCCCATCGAGAAGATAAGCTTACAGGATGAGGAGAAACATGAAGTAAAGGTGAGATTTAAAATAAGTCAATTTGGTTTCAAGTTTTAAATGACTATAAAAGTGTAAATGACTGGGAAGCAAGCAGGGAGAAGATAGTGCTCCATAATGGGAAATGCTTTTGCCTGGCCAGAGGAAACCAATTTTCATGCTCTAGCTTTGCAACTAACTAGCTAGCCACTTTAGCCAAATAATAGACTCATTTGGACTCATTGTGGCTCTCTGTGCAAAATAAAAAATTGACTGGATGGTCACTACCGTTCTTTTTTTAAATAAAAATTTTGAAGTTACTACTTGAACTAATTGTATCTATCTATAATTCTGATTCACCTTCTCCTTGCAGAAGAGAATCAGATCTTGCAAATGTAAAAATTTACTTGTAAAATTCATATTCCATTATATGGTATAATGCAATTTATCTAATCATTCCCATAATATAGATAGAACAAAA